TCACCGTTGCTTATAAGCAATGTCTGGAGACCTTGTTGTCAGTGTTTTGACTTATGCCTTCACCTGTTGACTGAGTGCACTTTAGCAGGAAACTGCAACTGGGAATAGTTTGAACCTGAACCCAAGCACTGCAACGAAGGATGTAGGCATCCCAGTGTCTTAGCTGCTAGATCAAGTGCCCACTCCAAGTCATTTTGTTTTGGAAAAAAGTGATGCACACACCCCATCTCCCCCAAAGAGAGAGAAAGAGACAGCAAGGTTAAAGAATGAGATTGAATCCTAAAGCCACAGTGTTTAGGAATAGAATAAGAGAAATTGGCTATGAAGAGACGAAAAGAAAGACTAGCCAGAAAATATAGAACAACCAAGAAAAAAAAATTGGCTAAGAAGTCTATCCATTTAGTTGGGTATTTTTTTGAAACTTTTTTTTTTTAATTTTTATTGGAAGTACAGATATACAGAGGGGAGGAGAGACAGAGAAGAAGATCTTCCAACCACTGATTCACTCCCCAAGTGACTGCAATGGCCAAAGCTGTACCAATCCGAAGCCAGGAACCAGGAGCTTCTTTCTGTTCTCTCATGTGGGCGCAGAGTCCCAAGACTTTTGGCTGCCCTCAACTGCTTTCCCTGGCCACAAGCAGAGATCTGTATGGGAAGCGGGGCTGCCAGGATTAGAACCGGTCCCCATATGGGATCCCAGTTTATGCAAGGCTAGGACTTTAGGTGCTAGGCTACCGCGCCGGGCCCTGGGTTGGATATCTTTTTGCACTGGGAAGTAAAGGATTTTTCTTGTATGAAATGTTTTGCCCTTCATAGAAATCCTATCTGACACATGATGATAGAAATGTGTCTTAAGCCCTTCACTAAGTCTTAGATCTGTGTCTTTTTAAATAAAATTCCAGTGAATTTTTGTATTGAAAGAGGTAGGTAAATTTGAATCTGGAGCTTTAGCAGTCATTTAGCAAGGAGTTGGAGATTTGGGAGATGCTAGTTCAAAAAGTGAAAAGAGATGAAAGTGAATTGACCTTTTCTTCCTTCTTTGCAAGAAAAAAAGTAGAGCTGGACAAGAACAAAGCTTAAAATACTTGACAGTAGCCACCTTTTCATTATGAGTTGAATTGAGACTTGTCAATAGGATTCATTTACACCAGCAGGATGTGTCGTTTGCAGCTCTTTGCCGCGTCTCCTGGGTAATCAGTTTCTATTTCCCCAAGAGAGGTATATTGAAGTACAATTCGTACTTCTTTAGAAAATGTAGAACTCATGCTGCCATCAGCCTAGCGTGCTGATGGAAGTCCTTGCCACAGACTTTATTATCTGGAGTTTAGACAAATCTGAACCGTCTTCAGCTTAGGCAAAATAAAATTAGTATTTAAAAAAGGCATATGTCATGTGATAATAATAAATGGGGTTGATTTTGTCATTTAGTTCTCCGTCAGCTGTTAAATACCATGTGTTGGGTATCAGATACTACATTGTCATTAGGCATGTTGGCATAGAAACCAACAGGGTTCAAACCCTTGACTATATGGTCAGGGGAGTGGAAAATAATTATGAAATGTGATATAGGGAAGGAGCAATAAATATGGCTGGAATCACTGTGTAAGCAGGAAAACCTCTCAGCCAACGCCTGGGGAAGGAATGGTTGGCCACTTATAAATCGAGAAAAGAATGTTCAACCATTGAGGGAGAAAACATTAGTATGGTTTAAAAACTCTAAGGTTGACTCTTGTGGCTAGATCGTAGTAGAGTGTGGGGACAGACAGTATGGTGTCAGTGAATACCAGGCACAGCCTGAAAAACCCAGGTTATTCAGAATTTAGGTTTTACTTAAAGGTCATCAGGGGTTTTCATACATTTATGTGTATGGAGATGGGGCCAGGGAACATAACTTTGAGAGCCTAGGAGAAGTTTGGACAAGAAATGATGGTGGCCCAGAGAGGGGAAGCAACCAGACAGGATATATTCCTGTCGTGTATCATGTGGCTGTGGAGGTAAAGGAAATCCTCGGTGAGGATGAGGAATATGAAGGAGAGGATTGGGGGAATGTCCGGTGGGCAGCTGGAGACTAGCTCTGAAACTTGTGACAGAGGTCAGAATGGCAGGCTTGGAGGTGGGAATCATTGAGTTAGAACAGGTATTTAGAGTATGGAAAAAATATCATGTGCTGGGGAGAAAAGAGAGAGACAGAGAGAGAGAAAGAGAGAGAAAATGAATATGAAGGCCCAGAATTGGGTTTTGCAGGAGGTGACGTGTTTGGAGGTTGGATAGGGTTGTTAGTAGCCTGTCCAGTACAAGAAGTACTTGGGAAATCAGAGTAAAGCCAGACCGTGTGGTGGTCCCAGGAGACAGAAGTCTCATGGCATGGTTGGGGCTTCTGTAAGAAATCGAGAACAGGCAAGTCTGGTACATTGGCCTTGGGAACACCCGGTGGAATATGTAGGGTTGGAAGCCTTTCAGGCAGATAAAAATCAATAAAACTAAGAGGGACATTACTAAAGGACAATGGAAGAAATGGATTTGATGAGGTCTCTTCTATAGACCAAGAGCATCTTGCGCTGGGGAAGGGTATTTACAGTGCATTTATTGCTAATTCATGAACAGTTCCAGGCTTACATTTATATTCCAGTGTTTAGTGAATTGAATTGACTCTTAAAACTTACCCTCCTGGGGCCAGTGCTGTGGCTAAGTGGGTTAAACTGTACCTTGTAGCACCAGCCTCCCATACGGGCACTTGTTCAAGTTCGGGCTGCTCCACTTCCAATCCAGCTCTCTGCTAATATGCCTGGGAATGCAGTAGAAGAAGACTCAAGTGCTTGGGCCCCTGTACAAACATTGGAGACCTGGATGAAACTCCTGGATCCTGGCTTTAGCATGGCCCAACCAGGACATTGAAGTAAACCAGTGGGTAGAAAAATCTCTCTCTACCTCTCAATTGAAAAAAAGGAAAGTCTTAAAAAAAAAAAAAAAGCTTACTCTCTTCCCTTTTCCAAAAGCTCCAGTCCCATGCTGGGCTCGTGATCTCATTCTGCCCCTCTTTCTCCTCTAATGTTTTTTTTTTTTTTTTCCTGTATGCTCATACCACTTGCAAGCATGATCATATCAAAGGAAATATAATATTTACTCCAAATACTTGCTTAACATCTGAAATGTAAAAAGGTGGGAAAAGAGAATGTGTGAGCTTTATTTGGATCACTCTCTGTACATTTGGACTTGGTATTTGCATATGCTTTGGGCAGCTGAGCCCATGCCAAGTTGATAAGTCTTTTATTCAACAGAAGGAATAGCTGTGATGGCAAAAAGAAGCCCTAAGTGGAAAGCACAGATACAGTGTAGATTGATATTTGTTCTGTTTCCTTCTTTGAAATATTAAACATATCTCAATGTGTATTATAAAGATAGGAATGAAATGGGAGCTTTGCTGTGGAGTCATTACTTTTATTTTGCATTAGGCTGTAATATGCCAATGAGTATAACATTAGCTTAAAGCATTTGCCCTGGCCCGTTGCTTATGATATTTTCAACCATGAAATTATAATGAGAGGGAGAGACTATATGACAGTCTGAGCTACTGGTTTTTGAGATACTTACTCTACATAACCGAGAAATTTCTTGAAAGTGACATGCTATCTACTTGGCAGAGCAGTTCTTTTGATGTGTAAAACAAAAACAGCAACAAGAAATCTGCCTTAAAATATAGAGACTGGGCCAGTATTATGGGTTAGGCTGACGCTTACAATGCCAGTATTCACACTGGAATATTGATTTGAGTCCTGACTGCTCAACTTTCAACTCAACTCCCTGCTGGTTCACCTGGGAAGCCTGCAGATGATGAGAGTCAAATCCCTGGGCCCCTGCCACCCACCTGCAAGACCTAGCTTCTGTGTGGGTCCGCTCTGATTATTGTGGTCATCTGAGGAGTGAACCAACAGATGAAGATTCTGCCTCTGGGTCACTCTTCGTTTCAAATAGTCAGCCAGCCAGCCAGCAAATAGAAGATATTCTCTCTGTCGGTGTCACTGTGTCTTCAGACAAATGAATAAATAAATCAATTACCCAATCCTCTTTTCCAACAAACATATATGCATATGTAAGGAGGGGGTGAAACAAGACAGAAAAGAAGTTCTTTAGATATGTTTGTAGTCTGTCTCCTCACATCTTCACACATGGTAACTGAAGCACAAAATACTTAAGTGTCTTGAGTAGCAAACTGTCAGAAGATCTATTTTATATGATCTGTTGCAAAGGTATATCTGCAAAGGGGATGCTATGAGTTCCTTATGAGATATAAGATGAACTAACTTTCAGTTCTCAAGACTGGAAAGAGTGCTCACTTCGGCAGCACATATACTAAAATTGGAAAGACTAGAAAGAATAAGAGAATAAACATGGGAGGGAAAAGAGCATGTGTCCAGTATCCCTCCCAGCCATGGCCTCTGCCTGTCCAGCATGGGGCCAGTTTCATGTCCTAGCCAAGGCTGCTAACTCAACAGGACATGAACAGTATTGGCTAGACTCCACTGGGGAAGGAGGGATGGTGTAGATTCGGGAGTTGAGAGGAGACGCTGTGTAGAAATGGGGAAGGGGGAGAGAAATGAGAAGAAATTTGTGCTTCTGTTATTAGACTGTACTCCCCTCTGTTTTCACCAGTCACTGTTCTGAAAATAAAGGTAAGTTATGAAATTGTAAGGCCGTTTGTTTAATGTCATTTTGTGTTCATATGGTAAACATCTAGAGAATAAAACCTGTGCAGTTATCACAGCCCAGGTTTATCTACTGGTTGAGCGTGCCCTGACCTGCAGCACCTGACCTACCCCATGTCTGCAGCACCCAAGGTGCTCACCTGCTCACTGTGGAGTGAGCACCTGCTTGGTGGGTAGCCTCACTATACCCCTTCCCTATGACTTCCCTTTAACCCTGCACCTTCAGCAGCCTAGCCTTATGGCCCAGAAAGGGGATCACACCCCATGACCATAGCTTCCCTGCTTTTCTATTTGCAGAACAATCAACCATGACGACCGAATCAGGATCAGACTCGGAATCCAAGGCTGACCAAGAGGCCGAGCGTCAGGAGGCGGTGGGTCCGCAGGGGCGCGCCGGTGCGCAGCCCGGACCAGAGCTACCCAGTGAAGAGCAGCAGGCATTGGAGCAGTTTGAAGAGGCTGCAGCGCACAGCACCCCAGTGCGGAAGGAGGTAAGCCCACTATCCCTCACCCCTCCCAGCCTCACGGACTGAGCGTTTGTTCACTGGTTTATTAATATTAAACATCAAATATTAAACATCAGAGATGGCTTTGTGGGATAGTCCGCTTCCTTTGTGGTCCCAGGCAGGTGAAGTGTATGCAATTTTAAGACTGATGGTAGATGATGCTGTGCGACCTTGCTTGCCTCACACCTATTTAGTTAAAACACTTAAACTCACACTGAAGTTTGTTGCTCAGCTCTGGACGCAGAGGCCAGGTGCACAGCTAACTGCTGGCTATAACTGAGTGTGTTGTTTTCCATTTGAGCCTAAAGATTAAGGCTTTTTGTTTGTTTGTTTGTTTGTTTTTCCTTCTGTTTTAATGATGTTAGCATGGGCCTTTTCCCTTCACTATACAGTGCCATTTGGAAGAGTCTTTAGAAAATGGAGTTTAGATGCAAGTTTATGTTGTTGCAAGTTTTTTTTTAATTCCATATGTATGTGGGATCTACAGAAGTTTGAATTTGATAAAAAAACTGTGCACAGATTTGAAAGCTTGTTGCACCCCAATACTTAGAATCCCATTTTCTGCTTTTTCAAGCATTCTTGCATGTATGTCCCCACCTCTCTTCTCCCATTTACGTTTGAGTTGCCATCAGTCCTGTATCCCTTTTAAAAGTTTTCATACAAAAAGCAAAGTGGTTTTTACCTGGACCTTGCATGGGGTCCGTGTTTAAGTTTGTTTTGTTTTAAAACTTCACACTTGGCATCAACCTGTGTTGGAGTATCCACTTGTACATAGAAATGTGGGACTCCCACAAATGATTGTGCTTCTACCGGTTAGCAGTATGTTTGCCCAGATAATTATGCTTGAAGATGTTCATGAGAACAACTTGAAATCAGCATATGAGCAAAAATCTTTGAAATCAAAGCACATTAGCTTAACATTAAGCTGTGTGCTTACAACTAGATTATTTCTTTTCTCATGACAGGTGTAAGTGCTTTAAACCTGGTGAATAAAAACAGAATTTGCTGTATAGCGCTAGAGCCACCTCTGACTAAGAGGTTTTGTGCTGAAAGCAGGGCGTAGCATCCCAGCGTGGCATGCAGAAGCCAAGAAGCTGTGGTGGCCGCCATGATTTTCTTTGTCCTTTTCCTGTCTACATGTGGAATGATGATGGTAGCAAACACTTTCCTGTATTTTTTGATCTGTAAATCTGCAAAAATAGTAAATTACTATTCTTTCTTTTCTTCGTTTTTTTCCCCTCTTCTCTCTGAACGAAATAACATGAAAATGAGACTTAATTATGCAAGACATGAATCTCTATGCCTAAACATGAATAAGTATACAACCATGCACCACTCACCGACGAATTACATTCTGGGAAATGCATCATTGAACAATTTCATCGTCGTGCAAATGATGCTGTAGCCTGCTGTACACATGCAGGCTGTATGATGGATATGATTCTAACATCAAACACAAATGATTCAGTAATTATACAATGATGCAGTAAACACAAGATAGGTGAGCGGTGACTTAAGTATTAGGACAGACTATTTATACAGTAAACATTTTCATAAGCAGAAGGAATCCACCCTAAAGTAATGACAAGACATAGATTGTAGTGATCACATAGCCCAAGCAGGTGTCATTTTCATTATCAAATGTTATATACTGGATGTCACTAATTGTGCCATACATTGATACACCTGGCAGCATACCAGCTTTGCTCACACCAGTATCACCACAAAGACACCAGCAATGTTATCAGGCAGAAGAGGATTCTCAACACCGTTATAATCTCACAGGATACGTAAGAGATCTGTGCACTGATGTGTTGTTAATGTGGAACAGGGTTGTACCTCATGTGATCACACATTTGATACGAAGCAAAACCAGTGGTACCAAGCCTTGGGAGGGAGCGATGCTGTGCAGCTTAGCACAGATGCCCGAGTTGGTCCTGTTTATCCCAGGTGTTACTTTTCAGGCTCCAAGAATTCATCCAGCTTTTGGGCCATGACAACGAAGGGGAGAATTCAGGAAAGATCATTTCTCCCAAAACATTTTTGGTGTACACCATGACGTCTGTTTTATTGGAGTTAGAATGAAATACATTTGGGGATATATTGAGGGAAAAAGTGTCAATAAGTTTGGCTGAATTTGAATTGCAGGTTATTGTATGCCCTGCAGAACATTTCCTAGGTGCAGGGTAATAATTTAGCATCTGCCAGCCAGGGTAATAATCCCCGTAACACAGAGGTACTGTGAGGATGAAACGAAAAAGAGGACTTGCCAAAATGGTTGGTACAGATGTGTCAATGGCCCATGTACTGCAACTGACTTCTCGTTTGTGGTACTTGGTCTGCTCTTTCACAGCTGTTACGATTGCTGTAAAATGTGTTGTGAGAACTCCAGTAGTGGTTTCATCTTTGAATTTTTCCCAAAACTTGTCTTTTGAGTGACAGTGGTTTAAGATGTCTCTAGAATGTTGACGTTAAGTAATCTTAAGCTAAGTAACCTAGAGAGTTTATTCTCACGTAGATATTTTTATTTTAATAGAGGAAAATGAAATTTGATTTTCTCTATTGTGTATTAAAAGTTAATTCCAGATAAAATTTAAATAATAATATAGCTTCAGTTGACCTTATTGCTGCTGAGGTGACAATATAAATTAAATACGCAGGGGCCAACATTGTGGTATAATACATTAAACTGTCACTTGCAATGCCACCATTATCCCATATGGGTATTTGCTCGATGTCCAGATATTCCACTTCTGGTTTAGCTCCCTCCCTGCCAATGCACCTGAGAAAGTAGCAGAAGATGGCCCAAATCCTTGGACTTGTATATCCATGTGAGAGACCTGGAAGAAGCTTCTGACTCTTGGTGTCAGCCTAGTCCAGCCCTGGCTGTTGGCAGCCACTTGGAGAGTGACACCAGCCAATGGATGAGTTCTGTCTCTCCTTCTGTTTCTGTAACTACAGTAAGTATACAGTAAAATTTTCAAATGCAGTAAATCTTTCAAGTACAACAAATCTTTAAAAAATAATCAACTTTACAAAGGTCTTTTTTGAAAAAAAGAAAGAATTATTTGTTTTTATTGGAAAGGCAGATATGTATAGACAGGAGGAGAGACAGAGTGGATGATCTTCCATCTGATGATTCACTCCACAAGTGGCCACCAATGGCTAGAGCTGAGTCGATGTGAAGCCGGGAGCCAGGAGCTTCTTCTGGGTCTCCCACGTGGGTACAGGTTCCCAAGGCTTTGGGCTGTCCTTGACTGCTTTCCCAGGCCACAGAGAGCTGGATGGGAAATGGGGCTTTCAGGATTAGAAACTGTGCCCATATGGGATCCCGGCATGTTCAAGGCCAAGGACTTTAGCTGCTGGGCTATCGGTCTGTGCCCACAAAGGTCTTGTATAAATTATATAGCACCTAACAAATAAGTCATGATAGTTCCTTTGTAATTCCAAGGCTGCCATAGTGCCATAGTTCTTAAACTATCTCAAAGTTAAGATTAATGATAGGTTGAAGTTTGTGATTTTCTGTTTTATTTATTTTATTATTTTTTGCATCTTTGTCTTTGAGAGCTACAGAAAGCTTCTCTTCCATAGTTTACTCGTCAGGTGCTTACAGTGGCCAGGCAGCCAGTTCTCCTACATGGGGAGAAGTTCTCCCACGTGACTGCTGAAGTCATCACACCGTCCCTGGGTATCTGAATTGGCAGGAAGCTGGAGTTACAAGCAGAGCTGAATGTCAAACTTGGCTATTCCAAAATGAGATGTGGCTTTTTCCCTACTAATCCAAATTTGTACCCTCTTGCACCTAGTTTAATGCTTCAGCATGGGAAGATCGATGGTCTAAAAGGTTAGACTAAGTTGCCAGGGCAGGTTTTGTTAAATTTGTTTACTTGAGCTAGCTAAAGCTCATCCTCTGGACTACTCCGACCTTTGAAATTGGGTGTTCAATTTTATCTTTTTCTTTATAAGCTCAACAGATGGATCTTTGAAAAAGAACGTCTGAAGACATTGTCTTGATTTTCTGCTCAGGTGTAGAGGAAAGTACTTGGTTAGGGATCTTCTGGATGAGGAAGGTATGAGATAGAAAACGCTGGAAAAGCAGAAATGCGTACCGAAAATGCAAAACAATCATGCCTAAAAAACTTTGGGATTATGCTAGTATGCTACAAAGTGATAGACGTTGATAAAACAAAAGAGAGAAAGAGAAGCATTGAGAGCAGATGTTCAACCTAGTGGTGGTTGAGATGCCTGCATCCCACATCGGCTGCCTGGGTTTCTCTGGCTCTGGACTCCAGTTCTGTGCTCATGCAGACCCTGACAGGCAAGGATGATGGCTGAAGCAGTTGCGTTCCTGGCAAGCATTTGGGAACGCTGCACGGCTTTTCCCAGCTCCCAATTTCAGCTCTGCCCCAACCATTGCTGGCATTTTGTGATTGAACCAATGCATGGGCTCTCTCTGTCTTGTGAATGGATAAATAAATCTTAAGAAGAAAAATTGCAACGATAAGCTATCAATACTGTCCTTTAGTTTATGTAGCTCTAGTGTGAAGCTGACACCATGCTGCTGAGAGAGGATTTTTGAAAGGTTTTCACATAGTTTCAGTACAGAACTTTTCTTTGGAGAGTGTGTGCTGTGTACATACTGGTTACAATGCTGGTCTGGCCATGGAGTGAATTTACACTTCGGTCTCTGATGGTCATTAGGGGAAAAGAGGCATGTGATGGCTCAGCATGAGCTTTCCCAAGGCATTGGCTCCCGGAGAACGGTTGTCGCTTAAGATGCCCTCTGCAATTCTGAATCTAGTCTGGACGCATCTGCTGTGTTTTCAAAGCAGATTAAAGCTCTTGGACAGATCCGATCTCTTCTAGTGGCTCATTACAATGAGCAGAAGCAGACTTGGGGGATTACTCTGATGAATTTCAGTGTTGCTGACTTCATTTAATCGATTTAAAGCTAAAGCAAATATTTTAACAGTTTGTAGAATTACTGCAGAGATAAATGCTTCAAGCTGCACTGGCCTCATAGTTTATAAATACCATGTACATATATGGATGAGGTGGTTGCAACTGCTGGATATAGAAAGATCTAATAAAATAAACTTTTTATTTTGAGCATGATATAAGAAAATACCCGGATACAGTAATTTAGATGCCTGTATAATCCAGTCCATTTTTTTTAAAAGATTTATTTTTATTATTTTTTCATTGGAAAGGCGGATATACAGAGAGGAGAGACAGAAAGGAAGATCTTCCGTCCGATGATTCACTCCCCAAGTGAGCCGCAACGGGTCGATGCTATGCCGGTCCAAAGCCAGGAGCCTCTTCCGGGTCTCCCACGCGGGTGCAGGTTCCCAAAGCCTTTGGGCCGTCCTCAACTGCTTTCCCGGGCCACAGGCAGGGAGCTGGAAGGGAAGCGGGGCTGCCGGGATTAGAACCGGCGCCCATATGGGATCCCGGGGCGTGCAAGGCGAGGACCTTTAACTACTTGCACCACCGCGCCGGGCCCCCAGTCCATTTTTTTAAAAGTCAAGAGTCATGGGCTCGCACAGTGCCTTCATAGGTTAATCCTCCACCTGCAAGCACCAGTATCCCATACGGGTTCTGGCTTGTGTCCTGGCTGCTCCACTTCTGATCCAGCTCCCTGCGTGTGGCCTGGGAAAGCAGCAGAGAATGGCCCAAAGCCTTGGGTCTCTGCACCCAAGTTCTGATTAATGCAGCTTAAACCATTGCAGCCATGTGAGGAGTGAATCAGCATATGGCAAAATATTTTAACTTTATTTTTATTGGAAATTCAAATTTACAGAGAGAAGAGACAGCAAGTAAGATCTTCTGCTGATTTACTCTGCAAGTGGCTACCATAGCCAGAGCTGAGCCAACTTGAAGCCAGGAGCTTCTTCTGGGTTTCCCATATGGGTGCAGAGTCCCAACGCTTTAGGCCCTCCTCGACTGCTTTCCCAGACCACAAGCAGGGAGCTGGAAGGGAAGAGTGGCTGCCAGAGTATGACCCCGAACCCATATGGGATCCTGGAACATGCAAGGCAAGAACTTGCCACTAGGCTGTAGCGCCGGACCCAGATGAAAGATCTTTATGTCTCCTCTCTATAAATCTGCCTTTCAAATAAAGACAAATTAATTTCTTTTAAAAAAAGTCAAAAGTCATTTTTTTTTCTTTATTGGCATTGTATCTTGATGACTTTAGCTGACTTAGTGCTACTGAAGTGAAGCTAAAATATGTCCCGATCAGTAAATTTAAATGGCAAAAGTTCCTGACAGCACTTAGCATTGTAAATACTTGACTATTTATCCACTGCTGATATCATAAGTCAGATTTCCCTCCCGCCCTAGGAGATCCAAAGCTGCCTGTTGCCTAAGTGTGGTGCTATTGCCTGAGCAATGCAATATTTATTTCCTCTGTTGCAGTGAAACCTCCTCATTATTTTCATCTCACAGGTCACTGACAAGGAGCAGGAGTTTGCTGCCGCAGCCGCAAAACAGCTCGAATATCAGCAGTTTGAAGACGATAAGCTTTCCCAGAGATCATCTAGCAGTAAACTCTCTCGGTCTCCATTAAAGATCGTCAAGAAGCCTAAAAGCATGCAGTGTAAAGTGGTACTTCTGGATGGGTCGGAATACACCTGTGAAGTGGAGGTAAGGCAGTGTTTTACAGATGTTGAGCGCTGGGGAGTGTTGGTATGCGACATACGGAGAATGCCTCTTTATCGTTCCAGAACTGCAGACTACTACTAAGATCCAGCCTCTAGGTGCTAAATTAGTTTCAGTCTCTCCACAGAAGGTCAGATTGCTGATGAATCTGTAGTATGTCCCCAAATGATAAAATCAAAAATAAGATGTGATCTTAAAAAGAAGTAAAGTCTCCTAACATCTTCCATGGCAGGAAAAAGAATGGAAGACTTTAAAACTCAACTTTTGTTTAATATCCTGGCTCTGAGCTATTGTTTAAATGAACTGTACCTTTTCTGCTTTAGTTTGTGACCCAGTCCCTCATTACTTGGTACAAACTTATAAAACAGCCAAAACCTAATGATTGTAAGATCATTTGCAGTGTTCTGTCCTTTCCTTGCTCAGGGAATGAGTAAGACACAACCCAGTTCACATGGTAATGGGTGTCACAGCTTCCCTGTCAATGAGTACATTACTTTCTGTTCCTTCTTAGTGAAGGAAACGGAAACCCCTCTCTGAAGAGGGACAGTTGAATGCCTTTGATCAGAAATGTTGTACAAGACCAAGTTAGCCGATAAGAACACCCGAGCTGTGCAGATGAGTGGGTTTGGAGCCCTTGGAAGGTCTTGGAGAGCCCAAGAGACAGGGCAGGAACTGAGCTGGAAGATCCAGTGTGAGTTTACACCGAGAGCCACTTGAAATTTTAGCAAGGTTTCAGGTTTTACTCTTCCCACGTGCAGCTCCTCCCGCATCAATCACACGTCTGCTAGGCCAGTTTTTCCCACCTCAGCCTTCCAGCAGATTCCAAATAGGACACATCTGTGTGTGATGCACGTTTGTATTCCTCCTCCTCGTGGACAACCAGCACCCAGTGCGCTTGATTTTCCACCGTCTCTATTCTCCGCTTCCTCCGTCTTACAACACCTGTGTCATGGCTCCTGTATCATGCATCGTGCACCTGTCACTTCATTACCTTTCTTGAAACAGAAAATGTCAATCGTTTCACATCAGTAAGGTCATTTAGAGTGGAGAGGAGTGGTGCGTTACTAAATAGTTAGTGATTGCTGGAACATTACAAATTAAACATTAAACATTTTTAAACATTAAACATTAAACATTTTAAACATAAAACATTTTTAAACATTAAAAATTATTTCTTATATTTCAAAGTTATTCAGTGTGTCGTGCACGATATCATGTATGATCACTTGCGGAGGTTTTGAGTTAACCTGTGACGTCCCAGATACCGGTGGGCTTCTGTGGGGGTTCCCAGGGACCCTGTGAGGTTTACCATGGTGAAATCCATTTCTTTATTTTTGCTGGCTTTGGCTTGGCTGACTTCTTGGGTCAGATTATCCAACTATTGATGAAGAGGCTAATACTGCAAATGGTGAGCTCTGATAATATGCTTTTGAGTTTTAACCCTGAAGCTTAAAGGCCTCTATAACTTTTGGAGAGATTGTATTTTTCCAGTATAGATTTTGATTTCTCAAAAGAATTGATCTAAGTGAAGAGAAGCTTTTCCCCTCTGCTTTGAGGACAATCTATTGATTGCATTTATATAATAGAATAAATTGAGTTACCTAGCAATTCTCACACTTCTAGTGTTTTCCAACGAAGCTTCTAGAAGAAAATTTACAGAGTTTCCCATAAGGGGCAAGGTCCTTCATATTTTGGTAAAGTTGATTGATATCTGTGGTTCAAGTTGATTACACAGATAATCAATGTAGTTTTCAGTCCAGATTTTTGTTTTGTAATTAACTTTGTGTACAAATGAGAGTTACCTGGAAAGTCATTATGAACCTTTCGAGTAGAGTAACAGTGTTGGTATGTTATTTTTTTATAATCAGGAATAATACTGTAAAAATTAAATATGTTTTAAATGAACTTGACAAATTGTTGAGAGTAACTTATTTATGGAGTTCTAAGCCTTTGCCAAAAAAAAAAAATCGTGGGTTTATAATAGACATTGGTGGTAGAAAAATATGTTCACTGCTGATGCCCTTGTGAAGAATGTGGGAAAATGTGACCATAGTAAATCATAATAGATTTCTCCAAATAAGAAAAATGGCATGTGGACCCATGGTGTGGTTCCCGTCGTGGCAATGAGGTGCTGGTTGAAAAAGTATAGTTAAGATGCTGCCATTTTTTGACATTAACTATGGAAAGGAAAAGTTGGATTTTTTCCAGGCACACACATGTGTCTTAGATAAACAGCCCTTGAAGAGCACTGCCAAGGGGAGGTGTCAGCCTTCACTCTGTAAATCGAGATTTTAAGCAAAAGTTTGAGTGACAGCAGAGGAACAGCTGAACAAGATTTGTTAAGTGACATAAGCTTTTCAGAGTCTCATGCCCCCAGTGTCAGAGTCCAGTTTTCCTGTAAAGTGGTGCAGTGTGTGACACAGAGTCGAAAGCTAACATTTTGCAGGAATGGAAGTTAAAATGTTGCTGTTTTTAAGGATCAAGCAAGAGTAGAAATGTGTTGGGGAGAAGAGATGGTCAGATGGGTTAGACGAAGGGGTGCTTGTGTAAAACTTGACTCTGGGTTTGATATCGAGCTCAGGTTGATCCAGCAGGGTGGTGTACCTGTCTAAACAGTCACGCATCACGCACTGCTTCCACGGCAGTCCAGCTGTGGGCCGCGAGCTTTGTCCCCCTGTACTGGACAGGTCATGTTTACCAGTGGCAGGTGAGTCACCACCATGGTCTGGGCTGATGGAGTTCTCCAGTTGGAACAGTGTGATTTTGAGGAACTTCCCTAAACGTTCCAAAACTCAGCTTTCTCAACAGAAACGTGGGGGTGGAAATTCATGCCTTGAGTAGACATTCCTGACACAATTGAAGCTGCAATTCACTTAAATATTTAAGTGTAGCATATGCTAATAAATGGGAGCTGTTTTGTATTGGTGATAGGAGACATGGACCCTGATAAGTTTGTTTAGCAGAGAATTACTGGTGGCCAACCGCTTGGAAACTTCCCATCAAGAAAGAGCAGAGAGGAAGAGTGTGTGGCCTATTTGGAAAAAAATAAGTTCTAGAGGGAAAAGGATAGTTAATTTTAGTTACCTGCAAGTACAAGAAACTGTATTTGAATTGAAGGGTTATTGACTCTCTCTCTCTTTTTAGTACATAAAATATAAAACTAACATAATAGTTTTAGGAAATCAGGTTTTAATAAACAGCGCTTGTATGTATATACACATACACAGACATTGTGTGGCTTCTTTCTTTTCTTTCTTTCTTTCTTTCTTTCTTTCTTGAGTGACTGCTGTCAATCAATATCTTAGTGTGAGGTATGCTCTACCTTAGAAGGGTTCCAGCAAAGGTTAAGTCACCACTTGGGACCAAAGCTTCCCATGTTGGAGTGGCTGGTTTGAGAGTCCCGGGAACAATGCTCGGGTCCAGCATTCCTGCTGGTGCGCACCTCTGGAGGCAGGCAGGTGAGAACCTGGATTGAGAGGCCAACCCTGCCTCTCACCATGATTCCAAGAGTGAGCCAGCCAGTGGGTGGAAGATCTGCCTGCCTTCCAGATACTTGTTTTAATTTGTGCATTAGGTGATCAGTGCTGCCTGAGAGCGAAAAGCCACAAAGGAATTATTTGCGTTTCCCCCCGGCTGTCTTGTGTAAAGACCTGACAGAGGATTCCTTTTGCAGATGTTGATCTCCTGGTGATGAGTGGCTGCAGCACTCGGGTAGCTTGGTGTGATTGCTTTGATCCAATCAGCGCTCCCTGCCAGTATCCCAAGTGAAATGCCATCCCCCTTGTTGTCTTGGGGAACCCTGTTTTTCCTTCCCGTGGTACTTCCCACACACCACAGCTAAGTTTGTGAACCGTAGCCATGCCTTACGTATTGACTGAGTGGAGAAAGTAGCTGTCTTCCAGCACTGAAGATGACTGCAGTGTTCTAATTCTCACGACGCTGCGGCGAAGATTCAGGTCATCCTTTCTATTTTTATATCCAGTTGCCCTGAAATCCACCGCATTCTGCCTCTTCCCTGGCTGTATCGCCAGTTCTTCACATGAGCTCTGGAAAATGCACTTTGAATTCCTGCCTGCCTTTGTGGTGTCATTGCCTCTGGTTGCTATGAGATGGTGGCCTGGCCATTTTGCCCTTCGGCTCTGACACCTTAGCGTTGGTCCAGTGAAGGGCGCTACTCACCCTTGGCTGCTCCATCAGGAATACAGCAGGCTTCTTCTAAGGTGCCTCGGAGACCAGGCTGTGAGGAAAAACTTTGGAGCAGAAAATGCACCTGCTACGCTTTGTGCCGTTCTTAGGTTCCAGTCATGTCTTTCTGCCTAATGCCTACTGTGTTGCACATGGCAGGTGCCAGTTCGCTTCCATGAGCAGTAGTACCCGTCCCGCTCAGCCCTTGCCCCATGGAGAAGAAAAAATTCCCCGCTGAAGTCCAGGCTATTCCTCAGTTGCTTCCTAAGGAAAAATGTCTTCCTGGCATGGTGGACTTCAGTCCACCCTGTGTGTGACCACACCCTCTTCTCTCCACACATAGGCCGCCCTGCCCATGGCCCCGGTCCTGCTCCCCATGGGCTTCTCCAGGCTCCTTCCTGGATCTATACACACAACTTCATACAGCCCCTTAGGTTTGAGTCTCTAAGTTGCTTCATTAAAATCTTGATATTTGCTAAGATATGTTGATCAGTTTGCACATAGTAAATGCTTATATATGATGTATAGTTTTTTTTTTGTAAAAGTGAATCATATAGCTTTCACTATCATTATTTGTCTTAGTGTATATATATATATACATATATACACACACATATATGTCTTAGTGTATATTCTTTTTCCTGATTGATAGCAATTTAAAACTGATGCTGAACACCTTTATTGATGGGGGAGGGGAGCTATAAAGGCAAGTGTTTCTTCAGGGCCTGTTGTGTTCCAGGCCTTGAAGACTTCAAGCGTAAACCCAGGATTTACTTTGCTATACAGTCAAACTGCCTTGT